AAATTATTTGGCTCTCATATGTAAATACTCTTGTCTTGTCAGCAACCTCCGATGCTGACTTAGGCTAGAGTTGAAAATCTAGAATACCCTAATTTTTTTTGAATATTTTAGACCATCAGGCACACGGCTACTGGAACTAAGAGTAAGCACCCTACCAATAGGCACCCAGCTGTTGGCTAATACCATTAAATTTAATATGCCTAAAACAACAGATAATCATGGCTTATGAACAAGTATCCAAATGTGAAAAGTAGCTACAAACCTTTCTGAAGTCATCATTGGACAAAGTTTCCACTATTTTAGGCCCTGATGAAAAGAATCCTCTCCCCAGAGGGCTGTAAGCAACAATCCCAATCCCAAGTTCCCTAAGAAATTAAAAGGAATCACATCAAATAAGAATTCCAAATCAGAAAATTTCAAAAAAAAAAGAAATTTGTTGGTCTTATGGATAAATAACCTGCAAGTAGGAATGATGTCTGCCTCAACATCTCTAGACCACAAGGACCACTCCAATTGTACAGCAGTAATTGGATGAACAGCATGTGCCCTTCTAATTGTCGAAGCAGAAGCCTCAGATAAACCTATATACTTTACTTTACCTTCTTCAACTAGTTTCTTAAGTTCTCCATCTGGGTGAAAAAAAAAAAAAGCAACAATCAATAAAAGAATAAGAAGAAAAAAGCAAGGGGACAAAAGTCAAAACAAAAAACAAACCGTGACTTCAATGGGAACCCTGGTATCAATCCCGATGCTGGTAATAAAGATCGATACAATCAACACCAAGACGCTTCAAGCTACCTTCACAGGCCGCTCTGACATAAGCAGGGTCACCACGGATTTCCTCTTGCCATCAGTATAGTCTATACCAAACTTAGTAGCCAATTCAACCCTGTCTCTTAACAATCTTTCAAGGCCTTACCAATAAGGATTTCATTGGTATGGGGACCATAAACATCAGAAGTATCAAGAAAGGTAACCCCGGAGTTGATAGCATGGTGGATTAGAGCAATCATGTCAGCTTCAGGCTTTGGAGGACCATAGAAAGCTGACATCCCCATGCATCCAAGGCCTTGAGCTGACACTTCCAGGCCCTGAGAACACAACTTGATCCTCCCAACTTTTTCAGTTGCCATGTTTCACTGATGGTTGAGTGTGAAGCGATTAGCTATCCGGATTTGTGGTGTTGAGGATGGAGGTTTCAGCACTGTTAAGTAGTGGCTGGGGAAGGTAAGGGCATGACGTAAGGGCATATGTTATACAGATTAATGATTGCGTATATTATTGTAATATTCAAGAAAATTATAAACAAAGTCAAATAAGACCTTACAACTTAGTATTTAAAGTTTTTTTTTTTTTAAATGTTGGACTAAAAGCTTTCAATCCAATCACATTAGCGGAAATAAAATCAAACAATAAATCAAACATACAAGAGACAATAATTTAACGTGGTTCGGTCCAACTAACCTACATCCACGGGTGAAAAACAAGCTCCATTAGTTGTAGAGAATTACAAACATACATCATATCATCAACCTCACTCAACAATCAATACTCATAAGACACTTTCAATCTCCTCTAGTCCTACGAAGTATTTTCAACCCAAACAAACACAAACTCAAACCCTTATGCACCCTTTCAACATATCCAAACACATACCTATATGCTCTCATACATCATACCTATGTGGACCCTCTCAGTCTCCTCTAGTCTACTCACAAATAAACATACACACAGAGCTCCAATATTCCTATGGGGTGTCTATCCCATAAAACTCTACAACTCTCTTACATCTTTTTCTCATACCTAATCTTGTAAAAACTTTATCTATTTATAACCATACAAACTTGCCCATTAAGAATCCCTCTCTTCTTAGAATTTTTCTCCTGTAAGTCAAATTTGCCTATTAAAAATCCCTTTCCTTTTAGAATTTTTATCTTGCAAGTCAAACCCTTTCTCTTAGAATTCTTCTTTTGTAAGTCTTTTTGTTCATCAAGCAATATTTGACAAATCTCAGATAAATCTCAAACAAATCTCTTATGGGATTTGAGTCAATATTTCCAACATTAAATTCTTTGCTACATTTATGAATTTTATAAGAAAACTTAAGTAATTTATGAATGTTATAAAAAGTTTTTGAAAATTTCTTTCCTACGTAAGTAAATTATGTAAAAAGCTTTTACATAAGATGTCAACAACTCAACATCACCATTTTTTTCTCTTTTCTTAAAAAGTAAAAATTATGGTAAAATAAATATTTGTTTATCAAAAGAACACCAAATATTAATAGAGAGGTCATTAACATTGCACTAAATTTGAATCCGAGATTTAGTTCGACTAATTTATATATTTATATTTAGAAAGTAAAATTTAATAAGTCTAAATTATTGACAAAAAATTAAAATTCAAATTTTAACACAATTTTTTTCTCAATCTCCATAATATGACTTTTTATGTAAAATAAAATTATACTTAATCTCAAAATTAATTAGTTCACCTGTCAAGGAAAAATCAAATTAAAAAACATTACTAATTAATTATGATTAATAGAAATTATAATTTCTTGAACATTATTAATTTCTTATTACACCCATCATTTATGTTAAATGAAAAAAATAATTATTTTTATAACTATAAAATAACAAGTGATGCTTAAATGAATTTTATAATAAAATATTTAGAAGCAACAAATACCATTAAAAGGATATTAGGATTGCATCTAACATTGGATTTTTCTTTTGGCCAAAACCTAACACATTGGTTTTATAAAGTTATGTTGAAAATTTCTTTCAAAATTGAAATCTTAAAAATTCATAATATAAAATTTGTAAAGAACGAAGTGCATTGGGAGTGTCTAATGGCACTCACTTTTTTTTTTTTTTTGGCATTTTTTTATTTTTTTTTATTTTTAATTTTTTTTATTTGTTTTAATTTATTGTCTTTTGCATGTGAAAAAAATAAAAAAAATAAAAATTGATGGGACAATGATTGATGAAGTGTTGGTCAAAGTTGGTAAAGAGTAAAGATTAACAAAGAGCGTTAAAAGTAAAAAAGCAAGGAAAAAACTGAGGTACCCTCCTATGTATCATTTCTTTTCTTTTTTAATCCTTATTTAATTGTTATTGTTTATTTTTTATGAGTAAATATAAAAAATTATTTAATTATATATTTTTCTATCAATTTGATATCAAAAAAAATAAAATTATTAATTTGACACTCAAACTTTCATTCTATTATCACTTTAAAACATTAGACTAATATCATTAGTCCATTTATTGGTTGTTAATATTTAATTTTTTTTGAGCAAATTCTAGCCAAATATGAAGCGTTTAAAATTCAAATTATTTAAATCTAATATTTCTTTAATATTGATAAATTATCAAAACTAAATTATGGATCAAATTGACTTGAATATCCTTTAATCAAATCCAGTCAATAATAGTCAAACTCGATCAAATTAGAGTTAATCCTTGGAACTCATAACCAAATAGGATTTTTAAAATTTGAGATTAATAATTTATGATTTTGATGCACTAAAAGTCATGGTTATAACTCGAAATGTGTGAAATTATCAAAATATTTTTTAGAGGTATTTTTATAATTTGATCTTTTTTAGATCATGTTTTGGTATTATTTAATAATTTTTTACGTTAAAAACTTTAATCGCAACTCATAAAGTATGAAATTATCAAAATATCCTTTAAGAGTATTTTTATAAAAAGTTTTAGATCATATTTTGATATTATTTCATGATTTTTGATATATTAAAACCCTTATCGCATCTTAAAAAGTGTGAAACTACCAAAATAACCTTTAAAAGTATTTTCATAATTTGATTTTTCGAGGTTGGTATTTCGTAAAAAACTTCAAATCATGTTTTGATATTATTTCATGATTTTTGATATATTAAAAACCTTGATTGCACTTTTAAAGGTGTAAAATTATCAAAATATCTTTTAAGCGTATTTTTATAATTTAATTTTTTTCGAAGTTGATTTTTTGCAAAAATGCTTCAAATCAAAATTTGATATTATTTCAGGGTGTTGCACTAAGAAACATGTTTCCTGCATGTGTAAAATTCCGCTCTAAGGACCGTTCGTGTTGCATCTGAGATTGTCCAATTTTTTTCTGCAAAGTTCCTCGTCCAATTCAAGGTGTAAGCTAGACTTGTGATTTACAAGCTAGGATTTCCAGCAAATGCTTGCATTCAACCAATCTTGCATGAGTTACAAATCAAGAAACATGTGGGAAAAGAGCCGGTGCAGTCACAATTGCCTTATTTAGATGTTGTTGGTGCCATAGCGAAGGAACCGGTGGCAATTTTGGACAGACTTATGAACAAAATGAGAAGCAGACTGGTCACTATAGTACTGGTGTTATGGATTAATTACATCTAGAAGCTGCTTCTTGGAAAGTCTTATCTGATCTACAACAGAAATTCCCTTCCTTTGATCCTTTCCAGGGGGGTTGTATTGTTACGGGCCAAAGTATATAGATGGGCCTATGAAGTGTAAGGTCAGTAGTTGAGTCCAGTCCAATAATTAGGATTATTTCAAATATTAGTTAAAATCAGTGTATGTCCGGATTAGTTATATCACAACTAGATTAGTTAAAAAGCTGATGTCATATTGCTGATGTCATGGTCTGTTCAAGGTTTTTAGAAGGGAGGAGACGATGGTTGTAGGCATTCTGAAAATTCATACAACATAATACAATATTTCTCTCTATACTTTCTCTTTTCTTCTTCTTCCTTTACTCTTCTCTGATTCAAGGCTGGGTAGATTTCTTCATCAACTTAATGTCTTCATTCTCAGTTGGCCCATACCAGCTTTCAAATTTTCCCAATGTTTGAGCAGACTTTTGATGATAGGAACTAGGAAGTCAAACGAATTTAAAAGAGAAGAAAGCATGAGAGTATAGTTAAATCATTGAAATATTGGAGCAAGATTTTGCCTTTTTTTTTTTCGTTTGTCAAAGGAATCATGCAGTGCACAAAAACCTAATGTTGGAAATCTGAAATCATGCATTGATAGCTTATTTCAGAACCTTTTGCTTCATTACCATGGAATACACAATCTCAACATGACAAACCTGGATAGCTACTACCAAGTTTGCAATCTCTCATCAGAAGACCTATGGATACTTCTGATACAACACTTATTCTCTGAAAACAAAGTAGAGACAATTTGGTAGCTTGCCCTCATCATTCAGGTTTCCATGAAGACAAGGGAGGAGTTTCAGATTCATGGTACGTAGCGATAGTTCCACCGTATCTGTCTCCCTTCACAGCATCTGCTGAAGCAATAGATTCTAGCTCAGTCATCTCTTCAGGTGTTAATTTTACGGACAAAGCTCCAATGTTCTGGTTGAAGTTTTCAGTTTTGGTGGTTCCAGGAATGGGACAGACATCATTCCCTTGGTGATGAACCCATGCCAATGCAAGCTGCGATGGGGTGCACCCCTTCTTTGCTGCTATCTCATTAACTCGCTCATAAAGACGTCTGTTGTGCTCAAGATTTTCAGGTTGGAACCTCGGTAGATACTGTGACAATTGAAAATCCATTCACATGATTGTCATGAAAAATAAAGATGATCTGCAGCAGACCATTACTTTCTGCAAATAATACAGATTTAGGATTCAAGGCATTTCAAAAAGTGTTTGACAATTCATGCCATCAATGGTTGTCAAAATGGACCTCATTTAATTGCCCAAATACAGAAAAGATCTCATATCCTCAGATTTGATTTAAATAGAAGGCTAAATGCCTATTTCAGAAAGATTTAAATGGGGTACTAATTTTTTAACAAACAATTAACCATGCAGTTCCTTAAAAGTATATTCATGTACTCCAGAGTTCAGTCATTAACTTCAATTGCTAAAATTAAGACTAATGTAACCTGGAGCTTAGTTAAGTTGGTTCATGCAACTGCCCTTAAGAGTAACATCCAGCAGGTTTAGGATTCAAATTCCAGTGTCTGCAACCTCTTTCCCTATCCCCAGGCTGCGGCCTCCTTTGTACTAAAAAAAGATAGGACTAATGCTCGTTACCTAATTTATACATCACTTGGTTCATTTGATACAGAATTCTCAAATACAAGTAACAGATGTCTCATCTGTGACTCTGATCTCAACTGAAGTAAACAAATCTCCACTACAAACTTCCCTGAAGTTTTTCATTAAAAGATGCATTAGATGATTGTAAACCGCTGCTAAGTGAGAAGTAACGGATATTAATCAATGGCTCACAAGAGACACTTGCAGTCTAGCAAAACCCAAGGGAAGGACATAAAGGTATAGTCAGCCCTCTGTTATTAAAGGTGATTTGAAGCTTAACATGCCTGCATACTATTTCACTTGAAAGTTGCGGGATGCATATGACTTCACTATATAATGGTAGTGGATATGACACAATAGGGAAAAAGATTATGAACATTTTCAAACTTCAATTCTTAACTAGTCCTCCCTTACTGTACTGCACAGTTGGATAATATACACTTAGACAGTAAACACTGACATTTAATTAAAACCAATTCACATGAGACACCCACTAAATTGGAAAGAACTAGATTGCTAGCATTGAGGCACTTAAGAGACTAAAATTGGGTGGCTTTCATTACAGAGTAAGCTAACAAAGAGGAAAATGTTGCAGAACAACTTAAGCATAAAAATTATTTGGCTCTCATATGTAAATACTCTTGTCTTGTCAGCAACCTCTGATGCTGACTTAGGCTAGAGTTGAAAATCTAGAATACCCTAATTTTTTTTTAATATTTTAGACCATCAGGCACACGGCTACTGGAACTAAGAGTAAGCACTCTACCAATAGGCACCCAGCTGTTGGCTAATACCATTAAATTTAATATGCCTAAAATAACAGATAATCATGGCTTATGAACAAGTATCCAAATGTGAAAAGTAGCTACAAACCTTTCTGAAGTCATCATTGGAAAAAGTTTCCACTATTTTAGGCCCTGATGAAAAGAATCCTCTCCCCAGAGGGCTGTAAGCGACAATCCCAATCCCAAGTTCCCTAAGAAATTAAAAGGAATCACATCAAATAAGAATTCCAAATCAGAAATTTTCAAAAAAAAAAGAAATTTGTTGGTCTTATGGATAAATAACCTGCAAGTAGGAATGATGTCTGCCTCAACATCTCTAGACCACAAGGACCACTCCAATTGTACAGCAGTAATTGGATGAACAGCATGTGCCCTTCTAATTGTCGAAGCAGAAGCCTCAGATAAACCTATATACTTTACTTTACCTTCTTCAACTAGTTTCTTAAGTTCTCCCATCTGGGTGAAAAGAAAAAAAAAAATAAAGCAACAATCAATAAAAGAATAAGAAGAAAAAAGCAAGGGGACAAAAGTCAAAACAAAAAACAAACCGTGACTTCAATGGGAACCCTGGTATCAATCCGATGCTGGTAATAAAGATCGATACAATCAACACCAAGACGCTTCAAGCTACCTTCACAGGCCGCTCTGACATAAGCAGGGTCACCACGGATTTCCCTCTTGCCATCAGTATAGTCTATACCAAACTTAGTAGCCAATTCAACCCTGTCTCTTAAACCATCTTTCAAGGCCTTACCAAGAAGGATTTCATTGGTATGGGGACCATAAACATCAGAAGTATCAAGAAAGGTAACCCCGGAGTTGATAGCATGGTGGATTAGAGCAATCATGTCAGCTTCGGGCTTTGGAGGACCATAGGCAGCTGACATCCCCATGCATCCAAGGCCTTGAGCTGACACTTCCAGGCCCTGAGAACCCAACTTGATCCTCCCAACTTTTTCAGTTGCCATGTTTCACTGATGGTTGAGTGTGAAGCGATTAGCTATCTGGATTTGTGGTGTTGAGGATGGAGGTTTCAGCATTGTTAAGCGGTGGCTGGGGAAAGGGCATTACGTAAGGGCATATGTTAATACAGATTAATGATTGCGTATATTATTGTAATATTCAAGAAAATTATAAACAAAGTCAAATAAGGCCTAACAACTGAGTAGTTAAAGTTTTTTTTTTTTTTTTTTTTAATTCTTTGCTACATTTATGAATTTTATAAGAAAACTTAAGTAATTTATGAATGTTAAAAGTTTTTGAAAATTTCTTTGCTACATAAGTAAATTATGTAAAAAGCTTTTACATAAGATGTCAACAACTCAACATCACCATTTTTTTCTCTTTTCTTAAAATGTAAAAATTATAGTAAAATAAATATTTGTTTATCAAAAGAACACCAAATATTAATAGAGAGGTCATTAACATTGCACTAATTTTGAATCCGAGATTTAGTTCGACTAATTTATATATTTATATTTAGAAAGTAAAATTTAATAAGTCTAAATTATTGACAAAAAATTAAAATTCAAATTTTAACACAATTTTTTTCTCAATCTCCATAATATGACTTTTTATGTAAAATAAAATTATACTTAATCTCAAAATTAATTAGTTCACCTGTCAAGGAAAAATCAAATTAAAAAACATTACTAATTAATTATGATTAATAGAAATTATAATTTCTTGAACATTATTAATTTCTTATTACACCCACATTTATGTTAAATGAAAAAAATCATAATTATTTTTATAACTATAAAATAACAAGTGATGCTTAAATGAATTTTATAATAAAATATTTAGAAGCAACAAATACCATTAAAAGGACATTAGGATTGCATCTAACATTGGATTTTTCTTTTGGCCAAAACCTAACATTGGTTTTACAAAGTTATCTTGAAATTTTCTTTCAAAATTGAAATCTTAAAAATTCATAATATAAATTTTATAAAGAACGAAGTGCATTGGGAGTGTCTAATGGCACTCACTTTTTTTTTTTTTGGCATTTTCTTAGTTTTTTTTTTTATTTATAGTTTTTTTTTTTGTTTCTTTTACCTGTTTTAATTTATTTACTTTTGCATGTGAAAAAAGTAAAGAAAGTAAAAATTGATGGGTAAATGATTGATGAAGAGTTGGTCAAAGTTGGTAAAGAGTTAAGGTTAACAAAGAGAGTTAAAAGTAAAAAAGCAAGGAAAAAACTGAGGTGCGCCTCATTTGTATCATTTCTTTTCTTTTTTAATCCTTATTTAATTGTTATTGTTTATTTTTTATGGTTAAATATAAAAAATCATTTAATTATATATTTTCTATCAATTTGATATAAAAAAATAAAATTATTAATTTGGCACTTAAACTTTCATTTCATTATCACTTTGATACATATGACTAATATCATTAGTCCATTTATTGTTTGTTAACACTTAATTTTTTCTGAACAAATTCTAGCCAAATATGGAGCGTTTAAAATTCAATCTAGTTTAAATCCAATATTTCTTTAATATTGATAAATTATCAAAACTAAATTATAGATCAAATTGACCTGAATATCCTCTAGTCAAATCCAGTCAATAATAGTCAAACTCAATCAAATTCGAGTTAGTCTTTGAAACTCATAACCAAATAAGATTTTTAAAACTTGAGATTAATAATTTATGATTTTGATGCACTAAAAGTCATGGTTATAACTCGAAAAGTGTGAAATTATCAAAATATTCTTTAGAAGTATTTTCATAATTTGATTTTTTTAGAAAAATTTTTCATGAAAAACTTTAGATCATGTTTTGATATTATTTAATAATTTTTTACATTAAAAACCCTAATCGCACCTCATAAAGTATAAAATTATCAAAATATCATTTAGGAGTATTTTTGCAAAAAGTTTTAGATCATATTTTGATATAATTTCATGATTTTTATATATTAAAACCTTTATCGCACCTTAAAAAGTGTGAAACTACCAAAATGTCCTCTAAAGGTATTTTCATAATTTGACTTTTCAAGGTTGGTATTTCATAAAAAAACTTCAAATCATGTTTTGATATTATTTCATGACTTTTGATATATTAAAAACTTTGATTGCACTTCTAAATGTACGAAATTACCAAAATATATTTTAAGGGTATTTTTATAATTTGATCTTTTTCGAAGTTGATTTTTTGCAAAAAGCTCCGAATCATATTTTGATATTATTTCAAGATTTTTTATACATTAAAAAACCTCATCGCACTCTAAAAAGAGTAAAGTTACTAAAATATCTTTTACGGGTATTTTCATAATTTGATCTTATCAAAGTCGATTTTTCGCTAAAAGCTCTAGATTATGATCAAATATTATTTTATAATTTTTGATGCATTAAAATCATAAAAAAAAAAAGGGATCATAAGTTTCTAAGAAAATCATGTAAAAATGGCCAAATTTTTAATGGGTTAAAATGGTCTTTTCCATTATTACTGCTGCACTAACAGTCAAAATTTGTACTGTATTTATTATGAGCCTTTGATCTTTCAAGAGGTTAGATCCTAGGGTGAAAAGTGGTTACTTGATTAATAAACTCGAGGAATAGCAAGGGCCATTAGATGAAGAAATGATAAAGGGCTAAAGGATCATTGCTTGGCCTTTATATTTATCATATAAGACTGGAAATGAAGAAAACGAGGCAACAACAATTGTAGCGTGAAAATGGAGAAAAAGAAAGGAAAAAAGAAAAATTGGGTTTGAAGGTATAATCCTATCTTTACTTTCATGCATTTTCATGTTAATTTTCATACTCTTTCATATTAGTTTTCTTTTATTTTTGTGATGTTTCAAAAGGGAACAACTCTATCCATAATTGTCTTCCTCAATAACTCCATGCTTGATTCAATAAATTCAGCCAACTAAATCAATAGTATGGTTTGAAGTGATAAAGATCAAGAAATACCAAAAATGTTGAACTTTCTCTTGGCTTATTCATGAGGTTTGCTTACTTGAATCTCTCAAAATCCTCATTTTATCATAGGTCACTACTACTGTTGACATTTAGTAGCTTTGTTGCCGATATTCATAGCCAAAAAAAAAAAAAAAACATAGTTTATGAGGTAAATGCCATAAAAGGGAAACACTACAACCAAGTTATCTTCATTACTTATATATTATGATTAATTAGTTAAATTTTAAAATTTTTTACGCATAGGTATTGAAGCTAAAATTGATTGATTTACGAGGTGGGTTACTTAGACCTACCATAAGAGAGTGAGAACATGTTTAACATGTTCTCCCACATGGTCGTATCATCTAATAACAATTTCATTGAAAGTATATGAAGCAAAAAATTAGAATTCTTTTAGCATCTTCTTAGTTTATGTTCTAATTAAGTATTTGTTCTATTTGAATTATAGTATGTAATTGATATTTCTGAAAGAGAAAGTATGATTCATAGGACGAGTAAGAAATCTCCCTTTTTTTAGATTTAATTAATCTATTTTTATTGCTATAATAATGTAGTATAGTGTATTATCATTGTTTACACTTCATTAAAACTGGTGGAATGAAAGTAGAAGTTGATAAAGATAAGTTTTTAACATATACTGCTATACTTATAGCATTCGATGTTTGTCAAAAAGTTGATGAACTGAATAAAGTTTATTTGCATGTCTTTTTTTGGTGTTCGGGTTTTCATTGCTTCAAATTCTTTGTTATTCATGATTTTGTATGTGTTTGGCAATTTGATCAAATGCTTAGCAATGATCTAGTGGTTGCATAACAAAGAATTTTTAGTTAATTTCTTATAGTTGATTTTATATACTTCATTTGAGTAATGATTTTTTCAAATGTTCAGTATATTGTCTTAAAATCCTGAAAGATTGATTTTTTTGTTTGTAGTTCATGTCATTTGCCATCAAAAGCAATGGGTTGATATGATAGTTATTTTCTTCCCACTCCAAATCTCATGTTTTGTTGTAACTTCATTTACCATAACAAATGACATAAGGCAGCTTAAATAGGCCTATATCAAACTTGTGAAAAATTACAAAAACTTAGGGGTGAAATTGAAAAGTGAAAAATAAAATGAAAAATCCAATTACATTGATAGTAAAGTAGATTATGTTGGCTCAAAAAACTTTTAGACAAAACTTATGATATAAACTCAAGCTCAAGTCAATGTGACAAATACAAAATGTAAGGGCCAAACATATATAACATTGGTCAGCATTCATATTTTAGAAAGAAAAAACAAGGATATTTTTACTTCATGGTATTTAAAAGTGATTATACAATAGAAATAAGCCATCTCATATATTTATGGTTAAGTTTATCTTATTACTTGGTCTTTTGTTCTTCTTTATTCATAGAAAATGTTTAACCAAGCTTTGATTAAAACATAAATACAGATCATCATCTAGCAAAAGTTAGCAACCAATCATTATGGAATTGTGAGTCAACTCTTTTTAAAAATATAGGTACCTCATGATCTCCTTTGTTGGCACTATACCAATTACCATCAAAGTAAATTTATGTAATTGCAATTAGAAAGCGAACTTCTTTGACGTTTGCATAAGTATCATCTAAATCAACAATATATTTAATTACAAAAGTACAAACTTCTAAATTTTTCATGTTTATTGGAGATTGACTTATATTTCCCTTTGGTTTGTTTTTTTCATTATTAATAGTAACATTTTTTAAAAACATTAATGAAATGGCAGGTTACAACATTGACTAAGATTGAGTTGTTCAAGTTAATGATATTAAGGGCTTTACTTGTAGTAAGTTAATCACCCAAGAGGTAAACTTTTGTTTTTGTTAAATCTATTTTTATCATGATCATTTAGTCTTATTACAAGAAAATGAAAGATTAGTGACAGTTTTGTAGCGACGTTTCACTTACAAACGCTGTTAGTTTTCGTGTTTTTATAAAACTTAAGGTATTTATTATCAAAACGTCACTAACTATTTAAATAGCGACAATGTTACTTATAAACGCCACTCAAGACTTGATATTAGCAACATTTCTCGACTAAAATGCTTTGAATAATTCTACCTTAAAATTTTGAGTGAATACTAAAGGCATTTTTTTACAGAAAATCACTTGAATAATCTCATTAAAAA